TTCTTTTCCTTTCTCAGTGTTCTTTCGCAAGTCTTGTGGGTTCTTCACAACAATCTTGAGAAATATCTGGGATAGGTAATAACCTCATTTCCTAGATGAGGAAAGGGCTCAAGAAGCTTAACTGATTTTGTCCGAGGTCAGAGACATGGAGGACAACAGAGCAGGGACAATAACTGGGTCCTCTGACTCCTTGCTTAACATGTTTTCTGCTTCACCCCTCTGCTGATGTCTAACATGTACTCACTCCCCTTGCAATCCTCCCTCCTCTTTATCATTTGTCTGAGCAGCCAGAGACCAGGGTCAACCCATCAAATTGGACTATGCAGCTGCTAAGGAAGGCCTGCCTTTGTCCTCAAGTGTATTCTGCAAACCACTGCATGACTGATAAATGATCTCACAGAGAACAGGCAATGTTGTCCCTGCTCCTGAGGGGTTTATAATCCAGGGGCACAGGACTGGTGTGGGCAGGCAAAGTAGGGGATCCAAGAGAGCACAGGCCTTTGGAAAGCTGGGCCCAGCAGTTTTATGGGAAGTTATGTGACTATGAGGGAAGTGAGTGTGGCCAAACCTTAGGACTAAGGTTGAGAATTCTATATAAAATTAGAGGAAGCAGAAAAATAATTTTAAAAATAAAAATGCTTGTGTGTTAGAAACAGTTCTTAGACTGCAGGTGAGCACTGTGCGTACTCAGAGGAGTTTCATACCTCTGGGGCCCATCACCCTCATCATATGTGATGCTGTACTGCACATGCTACTGGCATGTTTGGTCTTATTAAATCTGAGCTCCTTGAGGTCACATTAGATATCAAATCAGGAACACATTCATAGGGTGTGGCACAGCTGGCAGCTTTCAGAGGCTGGCAGATGAGTGATGGGGTGAACAGACCACCATCCGGAGAATGGCAGCTGCACAGTGAGTAAGTACAGCAGGATCTTCAAACTCTGAAAGGACTAAATTCAGACCAATTCCCCTCTTCATAACTTCATGGCCTTGAGCCAGTTGCCTCAGCTCTGATACCCTCAGTCTTCTCTCCTGTACAGTGGGGATGAAAAGGCTTCCCCTCAGTTGTTTCGTGAGACCTCATAAAGCCTTGATCACACACCAAGTTGTGCACTAAATAAGGACTCAATGAAGGATGGCTTTTGATTCAACAGATGATTCCCTGCTCTCAATAAAACATTTGCCAGCCCTGTGTTTTGAGGCTTTGGCCTTTTGAAGTATCAGGTCAAGAGAGGTGGGTCAGAGGAAAACAAGCAAGCATTCTAGCTGAAATGAAAAGGAGAAAGTTGATAGCAATGAGCAAAACAAGGCTCCCCTAAGAAATTAGATCCTGGAGGTCAGGAGGGCCGAAGGAGGGGGCAGCAGCTGGAGGAGTGGAAACAAAATTAGCAAGGAAGCAGACCAGAATGTGTCTGCCCGATTCCCTGAGACAGTCAACTTGCCCTTTAAACCAACTCAGTGAAAATTGATCAAACTCGGTGAGAACAAAATAATTCATTAATAAAAGGAGGTTGCTCCCTTTCATGGAATATGAACCATATAATAATAAAAGTGCTTTACAATTTTCGAGACAGTTTTAAGGCACCCACTGTGAAATATACTTAACTGCCCATTTCACACACACTGTTTCATTCACTCCAGGCAGAAATGCACTCATTCATACATCCATTCAGCAGATACTGCAGCACACATTCTACCAGGCACAGTGCCAGAACGTGATGCAGTCAGCGGACAAAATATCACATTCCAAGATGCACTCCTTCAGTCTTACAGTGCTTACATGAATGTCCCCAGACACACTCTGTGTTAGTGATGGAGGCAAAATTCTTGGCTACAAGTTTTCTGGTTATGACAAGAAAAATTAGGAAATTTCCTTTGTGATCTCAGGGAGGTAAATATGAGGAAGACGCTGACTTCTAGCAGCCTGAGACGTGTTCCTTTACATTAAGCACGGTTGAAATTTTCAGGGAATGAAAGAGACATGGGTTCCAGTGGTTACTGCTAAGAATAAGCCAAAAAGGACAAATTATTTTCAGAGTCTATGACCTGGATCCTTTGGAGACAATATAATTAGGGATGACAAAAGATAAGCAAGAAGATTCCCAGCACTCTATTTTTCCATAACAGAAAATCAAAATCCAAATGGAAATCTTTTAAAAACTATTTTGATTGTTCTTAAATCATTCTGTAATAATTATTTTCCTGGTATCATTGTTGAGAGGGGAGAGGCTTTTACTTTCCCTGCATGTCCTAGCATGGCTTAATTAATACTTGATTGATTGAAAGATTGGCTCATTTGAACTTGAAGTAAAATTTTAATTTTTCCTGCTGAACCTGAAATAGAGCATATAGTAATTAGGAAAGGCTCCCTTGTTATCAGATAGTCCCAGCTACATAGGCTCTTTGTAACTGAGCAAAAGGAAGGTAAGTGATTACGAAGGAGTTAATAAAACACACACATCCCTCTCCCCACTGCTTTTAGTGACAGTGGGATTTTCCTGATCATTATTTCTCCCTTGATTGAGTTTTGTGGCTAGAGGACCTGACTGGATAGTTCACTAAATAGGTGAATAATTACTATCACAATCCAGCCACAGCTGGCTGTGCCCTTCACTCCTTCTGCTCTTTCTCTCCACAGACCTGGATTGGCTGACTAATGTTTATCCAAGATTTCACTTTTTGAGATAACAGGAAACTGGGAGGTAACCTTTGGAGGTGGGGAAGAGGATCAGAGGGAGGGAGGAGGAAAGGAAGAAGGGAGTTAAGGGATAGAAAAGGATCAAAATGTGTTAAATACATGTGCCAATTTACCAAATGAACCTCACCATTCTTATAACCAATGTGCCTAATAATAAAAAATTGAAAATTCTTTAAAATCTCATTTTTTCCTTCCCAACCCTTGAGTTAGCTTCATTTATTCATGCAACTACATGCCAGAACCTGGGCATCCAAAGAGAATAGAATAGTCAGGAGTGGCCTTGTTCTCATGGAGCTTGTATCCCAGTGGAGGAAGACAGGCTTTAGACATGTACACCACTGTCACCAAGGCATCATGAGTGAATGAGGACTTCCAGAGTAGGGAATACCACAAAGGTAATAAGATGGGATAGTGTGACAGAAGTGGATTGGATTAGGAAAAGCCTCTTGTTGAGGTAGCATTAGAGAAAATTTGAGTGGAAATGCATTTGAGTTGAGATCTGAATAATCTGAAGTTCTCCTGCCACAATCTGAGAACAAATGTACCAGGCAAAATGACAAACAAGATCTCAATCAGATGGACAGAACAAAAGTAGGTGTGGCCAGGGTACAGAAGAGAGTAGGGAGAGAGAGTCAGGGGTGAAGAAGGAGGCAGGGACCAGATGATGGAGGGACGTTTGGGATATAAGAAAGGATTGAGCCACGGAGAAAGAGGTTGACTTGCAGGGTGGTGCAGCTAGTGAGTGGCAGAGCCAGAATTCGGACCCAGGGGATTTGGCTTCAGAACCACCACCCAGAAGCACTGAGGTGAACCACTGGTGGGTCAAAGCTGTCCGATGGGTGAGTTGTTGATATCATCACAGCTTTGTTGTAAGCATTGCCAACATGAGCTTTTTTGTTAGGTGCATTAGTCAGGTAAGGCTAAATGCTATAGCAAAACCTCCCCAAACCTCAGGGGCTTCACCCAGAAAGGTTGATTTCTCACTCATTTTGCCATCCGCAGAGATCATCAAGGGAGCTCTCTCCACAGAGCACTTAGGGTCACCTTTCGTCACCGCTGTCCAGGGGCTCTTGGAGTCCTTCCCTGGGTCCTTTGTTGCTGGCCAGATGAGAAAGCAAAAACAGAAGATATGGAGCAGTCACAGGGCCACAGAGGATGGTCAGAGAGCTGAGAGGGGCGGTCTAGCTCGTGCTGAGGAAGAGGTGGTGGGTCTCTTGCAAAGCACTGCCGAGGTACTGGCCAGAAGGAGAACTGACAGTCAGAGGACCTGGGTTCCAGCCGCGACTCTACTGGTTCTTAGCTGGGTAACCTCCAGCAAGAGGCCCAGACGTCTCATTAATGAAGTAAGGAAATTCAGCCAGGTGGCCCACCTCAGGGTTCTTCTAATCAACAATGCCCATATAATCAAGCATCATTTTATTATTTTTAATAACCACAGTATTTTAATAATTTCTGAATCGATGACCTATTTATACTTTTGTTCAAAATTGCAACCATAGTTATAACATCGATCCTGAGAGAAAGTACTATCTATTTTCCTTTAATAATCCATATCTATTTACATATCATATATGCATGCTGTAGGGAATAAAATAGCCTCCAATTTTTATTAGGACTAGTTATTTGAAGCAATTAATTAAATTGAGGAAAACATAGTTATCTATTTTTAAATGCCTAGAGCTGGGTTTAAGTAATAAACATAATGTTCTACAAGCAGATTATTTGCCATGATCTGACAATTTTTGTACAACACAGTACTTACATCTATTAGAGGGCATCTAAGTGTGCCAGGTTAGCAAGGTGAGAACCGTCAAGAAAATATATATCCAGAGCTGCAGAGTTAATAACCATGGACTAACGTTCCGCTTGGTGCCCTCACAGCCAGAGAGCCTTGGTTTCTGATGTGTGTGATATTATCATGACCGTAGGGATGTTGCAAGGCAGGGGAGTTGAGAGGGCAAGGTTTGGATGGGCAGAATGGAGAGGGCTAGGGCTGAATAAGAAGCTTTAAACCCCCAGGAGAGATAGTAGGAATCAGAGCCTGTTTGATCGGATTATTTTGGAAAAAAAGAAAATTGTCTGTGTGTTTGTGTGTGTGTACCTAGATTTGGAGACCTCACAGCAGACTAAAGCCCAGGGATACTTGCTCAAGTCCCTCTGCCTGAGAGTTCTGTTCACAGCTGGGGAGGACCAGAGCCAGGCCATGTGTCTCACCATCCACCACTGCACCATTTTCCCCAAATTACTGAAATCATCTCCTCTCACTCTTGTCTTTCCATTCTGTGCTCACACTCCTCGAAGTGTTCTTTAGGAAACACACATCACTTGTGTCGCCTCCTTGCATGAAACTCCCTGGCTCTCACAGTTCACGCCAGCCTTTCCCATGGCTTCTGAGCCTCCTGCTTCCTGGCCCCATCTCCCGCTCTGGCTCCCACCTGCCACTGATGAGTTCAGCCACGCCGTCCTTTTGGATCCAGCTGTTCATCTGGTAAGAATCCCAGTAAATTATTCTTTCCCTGTGTTTCCAGACTTCTGGAAGACACTTGATAGTGTGTTAGTAATTGAAGTCACTGCTGTAATTTAGAGACACTCATGTGAAAACATACCTGAAGGTTGGAGAAAAACATGTCAAGTGTTTTCTTGGAAATGGTTTTAAATAAGTTTCTCCTGTGTCTCAAGACTTTTCAGACACCCTGACCGTGTGTTTGTTATTTTTGTAATTCAGGTGGTAACTCAGTCACACCCACTCAGAGCCTCCCTCCCTTCCCATGGGTCACTTTTGCCTGGTGCCCACATGCAGAGCATTGGGAGTTTCTTCCCATTGCACTTAGCATATTTATACTTTAACTTCTTTCTGTATGGTTCTCTGATGCATGTCTGCTCCCATACCAGACTTTTTCTTGTACATGCTTGCAGTATATAATGTTTACATCCTCGTGTGGAGTTGGTACATGTGCAGAACACATCCCAATCCCTATTTTCATCCCCTTCCCCTCCCCTCCTTCATCACTTGATCCCCTCCCCACTTGAAAAAGATCCATCGCTTTATTTCCTATTAGCTATCTTTTATTTTGCTCTTTATTTATATTTTAAGTTTCTCATATAAGAGAAACCATGCAATATTTAAGCGTGCGTGTCTGATTCATTTCATCCAACATTATGGTCTCAAGGTGCATCTGTTCTACAAATGAGTCAAGTTTATCTTTATGGCAGAGTAGTACTCCATTGTGTGTAATACCACATTTTCTCTATCCATTCATCTACTGATGGACATACAGGCTGCTTCCAAGATTTAACTATTATGAATTGTGCTGCTATAAACATGGTATGTGTGTATCACTGTAATATGATGTCTTTAACTCTTTCAGGAAGATCCCTAGAATCAGAATATGCTGGGTCAAATGGAACTTCTAGTTTTAGTTCAAACCCTAAAAGGACAAGGATCCAGTTGCTTGTTTCTAGAAGGGCCCAGTGCCATTTCCTATGTGTACTGAATGGTCCTAAATCACGGCACGGTGAAAGAACAGACATCTTGACTGTTGTTTCATTTTCATCCCTTCCCCCTCTGCTGCGCTGCTCCCATAGCTCTTTAGCCCTTTGCACAGGGCTTGGCCACAGGACTTATAGTGCACTGCTGCTATTTTCATTTCTCCTCCTTGCTAGACTGGAAAGGGATCAGGATTTGAAGCCACGGGGCCAGATACATTGTCAGTGCGCAGCAAATGTGTATAATGTGGAATTATTACCTCCAGGAAACCGGCTCTGGCCCGGATGCCCTGACCACACACAGCAAGAAAGAACCCCGAAGGAGGCGTCCCACACAGGCCTTCGTGCTGCTGTGTGAGGGAACGGCCTGTTCCCTGCCGCCCCGGCCACTAATTCATTCCCTCGTTCCTGTGCTCACAGATGGCCTGACTCACTTTTATCTTACTGCTCACACACCTGACAATTATCCAGAAGCCCTCGGGCTTCTCTAAGAGTGGAGCCCAGGAGTCAGTATGTTTTTGTTATTATTATTAAGTTTATTGGTACATTTTAGGTATACAATACAGTTACATTCATCATTGGGATCTTGTACCTTTACATGATGTATCTCGGTTCTTATTTTTTCCCCAACCCGCTACCCTCCACCTTTCCCTATTTACAAAGACTTTGTTTCCGTTTTTTCCT